TTCAGCTGCTTTTTTCTTTGAAACAGTCTATTCCTATCTTTTTTATATTATGAAGTACAGATGCCTACAGAAAAGTTCACACACATAGACAGCATAACAGTTCAATGAATTATCACACACACCCCTGTAACCATCAAGCAGTTCAAGAAGTAAAACACTGCCTGAAATTCCTCTGTCCCTTCCCATGCACTACCTCCTTTTTCTCTTGAAAAAAGCAATCACTGTCTTGACTTCCCTCTCTATAATTTACCTTTGCCTGTTTTTAAATTTTATGTAAATGGTGTCCTATGGCATTTATTCTTTTGTATCAACTTTCCTTTATTCAACATTATGCTTGTGAGTCAAGCACTTATTGCAAGTGACTGTGGTATACTCCTCCTCATTACTCTAGTTTTTCCCCTGCAGGAATATACCACATTTTATCTATCCATTCTACTGTTGATGACATTTGGATTGTTCCTAGTTTAAAATGGCTGATGTAGGACCCTTTCTGAAACATGCATGACTGGCCTTCTAAGAAGCCACTGCTGCCTCTGTCTGCATGTGCCAGACATCAGGAATGGAGTGCGACATGAGACACTGGTGTTCTGGGTGCACTGTGGTTCTCAGGGCCCCTCTTTGTACCTGTTGATGATGCAAAATCAACTCCATACTCACCTCCGAGCTCCTCTCTGCATTTCCTTCCAGTCACTCCCACTGTAAGCTGGTCAGCCCTTCCTCAATCTTGCCTGCTTTATTTACTTTTTTTAAATATTTTATTTATTTATTCATGAGAGACACAGAGAGAGAGGCAGAGACATAGGCAGAGGGAGAAGCAGGCTCCCCACAGGGAGCCTGATGTGGGACTCCATCCCCGGACCCCGGAATCACGCCCTGAGCAGAAGGCAGACACTCAACTGCTGAGCCACCCAGGTGCTCAGGAGTTGCTCAAAATTTTTGTCATGGTGATGCACTCTTGCACTAAGTTCAACCACTGACATAGATTTTTTCTATTTTTCTCCTTTTCCTTTATTTCTAAGATTATCTGAGATGGGAGGAGTTAAGATTTGAAAGCAAATTACTACCTCAAACTGTTTTTCTGCATCCCCAAAGCAACTACACTATCTGCTTTCCATCGGGCTGATTTTCACATTTACTTCTCAGAAGGCAAGCATCTCACCTTCCATCATTGTGCTTGATGGATGCTTCACTGTCACCCCATCAATGGCAGTGATACATATAATTAGCTGTTAAGACTCTTTAAAAGCCATGACCCAGGTGGTCCAGTCTCAATACAATGTTTGGCTTAAGGGAACACCATCCAGCTACCAAAGATTTTATCTCTCTTTGTCCACTTACAGCGTATATGACAGTTGCTCCTAGACCTTGGTCTCCCAATGTTCCCCAAATACTCGTGTTCCCTGCCTGGCCCTTGTCCCTTTCTTCTTCCCTCGCACTGTTTCCTCATCTTTTCTCACAAGACTCCATCTCAAAAAAAGACAAAAGAACAGAAAGGAAGGAGTAAGGGAAAACAGAATACAAGAGAGCAGAATGGGACCTGCAGGGAGGGGGTCAGGCAGTGGAGAAGCTCGACCGGGAGTTTGAAGGAGCACACTTAGACTGTGCATATTTGCATCTTAGCTTTGCCTCTTGGCAGCCATGTGCCTGCAAGCAAATTGTCTCACTCCTCAGTTTCTCCCTCTGCCAAGTGGCAATAATGATAGCACTGCCTCGAAAGATTGTTACGAGGAGAAAATGAGTTTATATATGCAATATCTTTAGAAGAGTGCCTGGTGTGTGTCACGAACCATATAATCAGTATGTAGTATATAGTATGTTACACTCCCAGCACATGGAGAAGTGGCTGGCACATACGCTAGGGCTCAAAAGTGTTGGGAGTTGAATGAAACTCATTTGTTATTTTGTCTGTGAGGGTTTCATTAATGGAAATGTCTGCATCTCCAATTGAACAACTACATCCTTGTGCCATCATAAATCATGCTCCAATAGAAAAAAAAAGAGAAAAACCTTGCAAAAGTTGCAAATGGCTTTCATCACATCTCGTTTGTGCCCATGTCCCATTGCGTTGTTTCAAGCCTTCGAAAACACAAAGGAAATGAAAGGGGCCTCTGTTTTCTCCTTGCACAAAGAGCTGCCCATAAAGACCACATAACAATGCCACTTTACAAAGTGGCTCCCCATGGCCTACTAGGTTGATGGGCAAGCAAGTCCTACCACACAACGGTAAATACATTCACACAAATGTCCTGGTTGAAACCATTAAGCCTGAAAAGCTATGAGAGACCCATTAAAAAGGCATCTATGGGAAACTTCAGCCAAATTAAAAAGCTTCCTACCACAGGGAGAAGCATCTGTGATGCTGGAGCAGGGAAGTGGGAGACTCTGGAATCAGGCTGCAGGAACCAGAGAGAGAAGAATCACAGAATGGTGAGAGATGGGAGGATGGCTTGGGAAAGGAGCCCCAGGGCAATGCTGAGCTGAGAGGGTCTGCAGCTGGATTTCAAGGTGAAGTATGACCCAAGAGCCCCCCAGGACTAGTGGGGAACTTGTGTGTCAAAGGAGCAGCTCTCCAGAACCTCAGGAAATAACAAGGGCATTTCAGGATCAAAGAGGAAGTCAGTCTCAGAAGTGGATCCGATCCACTTTATGGTCACTTTGAGTTAATCCAGATATTCCCAGCGCTTGCCCCTTAGCCTGAGGTCACAATGGGGTCTGGGGATTTGGAACTGACCATTTCTCCTACACCACAACCCTCCCTTGGCAACTGACCCTCACTGATGTTCAGCCTTAACATGGTGCCGAGACAGAGTTAGACCCACACGATACTCATTTATTCAACAAACATTGTGATTTTGCTGCAAAATAATTCAAAACCAAAAATATTGATTTTTTTAATCTGCACAGCTACACCAACTTCTGTACCAGCCTGATATCATTTGGATGCAAGCTCTCATGACATAAAAACCTCCAGATAATGTTTGTGCTTTTCTGTGAGGATCTGTGTTATTAGTTCTCAGCTGAACACATTTGTAAACAAACTGACAAAAGTCACATAGAATATATCACGGAAAATACATGAATTATGGTGCCCTCCAGTGATTATTTAGACATTAAAGTAGAACAATGAAGCAACCTTTATCTGATTCAGAGAAAGCCAGTATCTGTCTACCATTGATTGCTTAAATACATTCTGTACCTTTCAAGGACAATCACTGATGGAGGTAGTCACATATAAGAGTTCCAAGAAGTTGGAGGGGACAGGTATTGGTGCTGAAGTCCTTTCTCCTCAAATAATAGCCAGGTGCTAGGGCACTGAGGCAAGGTGGGCAGTGGAGGGGGTGGGTCACATGGGCAAATCAAAAAAAAAAAAAAGAAAAAGAAATAGAGATTAGAAGATTTCACACTGAAATAAAGAAATTCATGTTGCCTTAAATATAATTTGTGTTAGTTACATTTCAATTCCTAATTTATACATAGCAGGGTTGATAAAGAATTACATTATAACAAAATTAGCCAGAATAATTAGCATAGTATATGTGCTACTGATTAAACACCCAGCAGATAGCTTGGTAATTAAGATCAGCGAGTGCCATATTTTGAGGCTTTGTCATCTTATTATCTGCCTAACAAGTGCTTCATCTTTACCTCCCTTCTGATTTGAAGTTTGATAGCAATCTCTAATAATTCTTGGGGTTTTTTTTTTCTTTAAATTACCGTAACGAAATTCCAATAATTTTCCTATGGCCACTAGTCTCACTCTCTTTGTATTTGCACAAAATGGTGCTGGTGTTATATTTCTTTCTAAATGTAAGGCATTTGATATGCCAAGCATTTGTGCTTGGAAATTCAGGTTCAAAAATCTCTCCCAAAACTCATCATTCTTTGGCCGAAGGAAGAATCAGAGGCCAACCACACTCTGCAAGTTGGTCAGACATCTGAGGTCTGATCCATTGAGTTAAGATCTCCTTTTTGGGCAAAACCCATTGCCAAGGATTCCCAGAATATCTCTAGCAGGGTCCATTTCCAGTCTCTGTGACACCGGAAGGCAGTCTCTCAAGTGGACCTGGCCACTTGCTCATTGATGACCCCTGCCCACAATGCCACTGCTCCTCCTTCAAGGAGTCTGGCGTTGGCTGCTGTCCTTGCAACATACAGTGGGATTTCATCATGGAAGGCAAGAAGAGTTCAATGGTCAAAGACCAGAAGGCTTGGAGAGTTCATCACATCCCTTATTACAGGCTAAGCCACATATGCTGCATCTCTGTAGACTAAACCAGGACGTTTCCATGATTTTAAAGGTAGAGTGAATACACTACTTGTATCAACCCAAAATACTTTGAGCTGCAAGCCATTGAAAACTTGTGAACAGTGCTTAAGGAATAAAGACAAGAAGTCTGGTGGTTGGCGGTCCAGAGCTGAAGCAAAGGTCCAGAAGCCATCTCTTCCCCTCCAACTGTTCCATTCCCTTCAGTATGTTGATCCTTCACTCTTGACTGTCACCTCATAGCTACAATGTGGCTGCCACATCTCCACACACTGTGTCCATGTTCAAGGAAAGAAAGAAGCACCAGCCACTACTACTTCTCCTTTCAATCAGTTTCAGGGGCTGGTGTTGCAAATCATAAGGTCAGCCTCACAGGCTTGCAGTACCCCTCTGGATCTCCCTCTTCATCTCACTTCTGCTAAAAGAAGGCATTGTTCCATAGGACCAATGAGGGCTCTCTTTTAAAGTAGTGTCCCCTTTTCATCTTCCCCCACTTGCCAACATCTGTACTGCTCCATCTCTAGAATAACCCTGAACCGAGACCTTCAGGAAGATAGATTCTCAGGGCCCTGTGGAGAAAAAGGCCGCCAGCCAATGGCCCTCCCCAGCAGCTGCAACAAGAGCCAAGGTTTGTTCTATTTATAACCATGCCCACAGTGCCCTGCATGACGCAGCTGCTACCTTTGGACTCAGTTGAGAAGAAGAGAAGTTTAGTCAATACACAAACAACATTACAATGTCTAACTCCGATCGCCTTCCGGATTACCCGGTCAACTCAGATTTGGTGAAGAGATTAAAGTCTGCCCTGGACGCCAAGGATGAAGAGACAGTGAGCCACTTGATCTGCGCTGAAGTGAGGCACGTGGACGCCGTGATAGAACTGGCCAATGACGACTGGATGAAAGACCCCTCTGCTCAGCTCCCCGCCAGCGTGCTCGTAGGTAACCAGGATATACCTGATCCAAATTCCCTACCATGAGCGCATGCGAGGGGTGGGCCACTCCTGGAGGTGGAAGGCTGAACAGTTGAAAAAGGCACATGAGCTGTGCTCGGGTGTCTGGCCCTTGTTGATATACATACACACGTATACTGCGTGTATCCGTGTGTGTTGCTGTGCAACAGCTGGCGCGTGATACAAATAATTCAAAAAGGGGGAAAGCACTCCGTGGCACCACCATCTTCCCACAGCATCTGTTTTCATTTCTCCACTTCTGCATGTGGATATGTCCATGCAATTTTGTGTTCTGCTCTGTTGGGTTGATATATCTAAAGTATTTTCCGCGGTGCTAAGTCGTCTTCTTAATATCAATCACCTATCCAGGTGATGAATCACAAAATACTTAAACCAAATGCCTACAAGAGAGGAATATTTGTTTACGTTTTTTTGCTCCTACCAATAAGGCCATAATTAGCATCTCTATTAGCATCCGAATGGCTTTTTCTTATTCAGGTTATCTCCTTAAAATAAATCGCCAGGGGCAGAATGATTGGAACAAGGACAGAAAAATTACCAAATTGTTTTCCAAAAGAAAGGGCTTCTATTTCCTCGACAGTGAGTGTGTGTGTGTCTTACCACACCCTGAACATTGCTGGTGATGCATATTTATTTATCCTTAAGCCACCCACTGAGTAAGTGTGCCCTGGTCATCGCGCACGGCCCACCGGCCCACAACATCTCATCCACAGGGTTTTTGGTTTTGTCTGTAGACCTCTTCATAGGTGACGTGTCTATTCAGGTGGGCAATCTCTCCCCATTTCTTTGTATTTTGAGGGAGGTCATTTTGTGGATCTTCTTTGTGTAACATATGGAAATATGTTGCCTGATGCAAGATTTACTTTGAATTTCATGGTGTGTTCTAGCTTGTCAGACGTGCTTGACCCCAACAAAATGCACGGGGCTCCTCTCCACCTGCTAGACGGAGTCCCTCCTGACATACATGTATGTGTGCATGCACTTACGTGTACACCTGCACATATGCACCCACACACGCAAACTCATGCTCACACGTGCAGGAAGTATACCAAAGAGGAGTATGCATGGATCATTGGTGCTAGCCACTGGGGCTTTCCTGCGATGAAGAGAGGGTTCCAGATCGGTCCTGCAAGGGGGTGACAATCCCTCAACTCCCTCAGGACATGGATGTACTCCCTCGGCCGCCTTTCACCAGGGCCTTAAGCAAGCTGCTTTAAGGCTATAGAGAGAAACCATCCCCTGCTTCTTCTTTTCCTTGGTTTTCCTAATATCTATGGCCACGATCTGGGTGAGGGCCCAGGAGCCACGAGCCCAAAGAACAACACACGTTTGTTCTGACCCTAGCTTTACATAGACAGGCACCGTCATCTCCCCAAGTGCACCTAGGGATGCAGGAGATTGCACTGGGGTGGGAGGAGGGGACTTTGTAATCATAAACTGCAATTTGATCAGGAGCCTTGAGCTCTGTGTTTTGCATTTGCCTCCCCCTCCCGCGGCCCCCCGCAGAGCCCCTCTGCCCACTGCCTGCCCTGTGCCTGCCTATGAGGGTGACCTTGTGAGTTACATCCCCTGCCCAGTGCTCTCTGACTCCTACTGGGTGCAGCTAATGGAAAGTCCTCAGAGGAGCAGGAGAGGTGGGATATTTGCTCCAGGGACCTCTCCCTGCCAGATCTCTGCTGCGATTTGGCTTCACCCTTGTGCCAAAGGCTCAGCCCCTGGCTGACATCCCTTACCTCCCTACTCACCCCTTTAGGCACAGGGATGAGGGCTCCCACTGTGGCTGTGACCACCCCTCATTGGCTTCCCTGAATCCTGCCTACCTTTGTTATACCTCGTGGTTATGACATGTGTTTTCTGCTATACTTAAAAGCAAGTCCCCCCTCTCCACCTCCCGCTTTACAAAGCCATCCCAGCTCATTGGGGATCTTTGTATTTGGAATCCCCAATTTAAAATACCATTCTTTTCACCTTACTAATTGAATTTGTACTGTCCCTGCACCACAACTTTGCTGAACTCTTGAAATCAATGAAATTTCTGTTAGAGTTTCATTCTTTCCCACAATGAACCCATTACATTCTTAACCATATTTGTATGTACTTCTCCCCATCAAACTGCCCCATTCAGAAGGGCAAGAACAGTTCATTGCTGATGACACGTTTTAAGGTCTTGGGTTAGTTCGGGGTTGATTTCAATTCAGGGTGATTGTAACACTGAATGATTAAGGCACATCTTGTTACCAGTGACTCTATTTTAGGGAAAGCCAGCCGTCCTTGAACCCGAGGCAGAGAGTGCAGCATGCTCAGTCTTGTGTTCTAGGTATGCCGCTCCAGGCACAATGTGAAAGTAAGACTTGAAGGAAACGAGAAAGGGAAGGAGAGCCTATTTAGGAGGTGACTCTCCAAGTGAGAGATGACAAGGGCCTAAACCAAGAGAGCAGGATAAACACAAAGATAAATGGCAAAGATGAGAACTGCATGGGTACCCACCCATGGGAAGGTCTTGGTGACAAGTAGAGGCTAGTGCCGCCAACCGAGACCAAAAAACCAGAGGGACCTGATGGTGACGGTGTCCTGAGCTATGCAGTGTGCCTGGCAGTATGGAGAGAGGAGAATGCAAACAGGAGTAACACACGGGATGCCTCCTAGGCTCACGGCCCAGGCAACGTCAGCGCTGGGTGACTATTAAGGGTCTGGAGAAGCTCTTGCCGTGGTGTGGGATGTTCCAAAAGGAAGCTTGGGCTCTGCCACCAATGAGCTGTGTGGCCTTAGGAAAGTCACTTTCCCTTTCTGGGCCAATGACATGAAATTCAATTAAGGCTTTCCAAACAGGTCCATGGTGGAATGAGCTTGGGAGATGCTTCCTGCTCTGTCACATGCTCAGAAATTGGCACAATGGTATATTAAAGTCTCGGTGTGGTTTTGCCACCAGGGGAATTGGCAGTTCGTACACACTTTTTGGAAACCACTGGCTTGGATCAATGTTGAGGTCCCATCCATCTCGGTGCTTCTCTGAGGCTATGATCCCAAAGACTCATTGTCACAGCCTGCAACAGAGCGTGGGTTCTTTTTTGCTGAGTGTGGGAGCAAATGAGCTCTTTCTCCAGGCAACTGTGAGTCCTTGGGGACCACTCTTGGCAGGAACAAGAGCTGTTTGGATTTAAATATACATATGGGGTCTTTAGAATGCTTGAAGAGTGGTCAGAACTTACAGCAATACCTTGAAATGCAGCCCATACTGGGAATGGATACTGTGAGGAGTTTAAATCCTCCAGGGGAAGAATATGAAGATGGGGAATGGGGCTGGGCCAGCGATGACCAGCACCAGGAATGCCCACTCAGGCCGGGAGAGGCAGGAGCCAAATGGCATGGTGGCAAATGCATTTGGTGGAGAGGAGGAAAGTTTCCATCCCAAAGACAACCCTGGTTGGCAGGTTTTTGAGTATTGTTCAAAGATGACGACTTGCAAAAATAAGAAAAAGAAAAGTAATCATTCTCTCTTGTGTGCTTGTCAATATGAACACACAAGGACCTTGTATCTGTCAGTGAAATCACCGTGTTCATTGCACTGTGAACTTATTATTCCATCAAACGTAACATGCAAAAATAATAATAATTTATTTCATTGCATCCACGTCAGTGTCACAATAAAAGCATAGAGAAAGAGAGGCACCAGCTGAGAAAATGGTGGGAACGGCTTTTTCTGGAGAAGTCTCCCCCAGGCGTATATGGCCCCCCTTGATGACGGCAGAGGTCAGAGGAACTTAAATTTTTAGCCCAAGCAGATCATGGGGCAAAGTGCAGAATGTATCCTCCCTACACAGTTGGCAGAGAGACAGGGGAATAGTCATCAACTGGGATTCCCCTGAAGACACAACTCACATAGCCCCTGCAGGGCCATCTGCTCCCCTGCAAGGATAGGCTTGGGATGGACTGGGAGTGGGGCATGGTCAGTCTCTCTCTCTCTCTCTCTCTCTCTCTCTCTCTCTATGACAAACTGAACTGGGCTGAGCACAAAGCTCCTCCGTAATCAGCTCCCTGATCTGACCAACATGGAACCTCCCACCAGGCTCCACCCAAATTCTGGGACACATGAGGACTTCTTCTGCTCACCTAAGCCACTCCCTCCTTCCGGACCCTGCTCAGTGGATGGCTTCTGCCTGAGGGCCATCTCTGCCCATCTGGCCCACAGACTCTCCTCCCTCCACAAGGGCATGAAGCCCTCAGTCTCAATTAGTTACTGAAACACAGGCCTTGCTGGGCTAGTTGTTACATGGACTAGATATTTAAAACTTAAAAACAGCTCCTTGCAGATGAGATCCCTGCCTAACACTTATTGGTATCCAGAGCCTAGCACATGGTCTTTGCCCTGAGAAGGAGCTCAAGGTCTGTGTGTCCTGCCTGACATGGACAGGCTAAGTGCCTTTGCTGACATTTAAGGTGAGTGGACACAGATCGCCTTCCCACAGATACTACTAGAGTTAGTCTTTCTGCAAAGAAACATTTAATTTTACTTTCTGCTAAAACCAAATCTCTACTGTTTAATATTAATGACAATTTCATCGTTTGTCCTTGCATCTCTTCAGTGCCTATCAGCTCACTAACCACCAAGAACATGGGAAGGGAGAAAGGATGGCTGGGGGATGGGTGGTGAGACCCATCTTGTCCCCAAATGCATCAACTGTACAATTTGGTAACTGGCGTAATCAAACTACTTAAGAAACAACTGATTACTAATTGCTATTATTAAGGATGTCAGCATTCCATGATTTTGCTGCTGATATATTATATACAAGTCAAGATGCTACTTGAATTCTTGATTGAAACAGAAAACTAGAGACATTATGTTGTGTTTGGGGTAATGGTATTTAAGCGTCTGGAGGCGAGTTAAGAAATACTAATTGGGTTTTTATTAAGAGATCGCACCCAGCAGCACATATAGGTGGGGAATGAGTGTGGGGAGTGTGTGATAAGCGTGTGCATACATGTCAAGATGGGGTCTGTTTGTGGAATATAACCCTTATCCAACCAGCACCCCTGCAGGCTTGACACCAAATCCACCACCACATTAGGGCAACATCCACCACTCCTTCCCTATGTATGGAGGAGAATATAACCCAGGGCAAACCAAACAGTCAAACATCAGTTAAATGAGCAAAGCCCCTCCCTTATCGTATTCAAGCCTACAACAGAAGCATGCACACTGCTGGTGGCTCTGAGATTTGACGTATTGGGGACAGCAAGAGACTAACACTGAGATGATCCAGGTTCTTCCATTGGCTCTACCACTGCCTCTGTGGTCTTGAACTTGTCAGTCCATCTTTCTGAACCTTAATATCCTCACTTTAAAAAAAATGAGATTGGTCAGGCCATCTCTCAGGGTCTTTATAAATTGCACTAACTAAGGTTTTGAGACCAATGACTTGTGTTTGTGGAGGACATTAAAAAAATCCCATCTCCTTTACATGTTGCATCCTAACAGAGGCCTGTGTAGATCCCACCCCACCTACAAAGAGATGGTTAACGCCACACCAGTGGGAAAAGGAAGGTGTCTCCTGGAGTGCTGGTAGTTTAGGAACTTGGCTCAGGACCAGGCTATTCTAATTGTTGGGGAGAATACATCCCCAAACCAGAACATGTTAGAACTGGATCACCCCTAAGTAGAAGCAACAGAGAGGAATCACAGGTAGTGAGAACCTTCATGAGGTACATATTTCCCAAGGGCTTTTGTATTTCCCACTTATCCAGCTGAGGAAAACAAGGCTCTAAGATGTTGTGTTACGCACCCGGGGTCCAACAGCTGGTAGAAAGTATAAACCCAATGCTCTTCCCAGCATTCCATGATCCCAGCATTCCATGATGCGTATAGTTCTTCCGTCCTACATCTGCATTTTACAGATGGGGACACTGAGGCTCACATTTGTTCCTCCACTGATCAATAGCCAGTTAGCAACAGTGTGTAAACAAGGTATGTTTCCTGAGTTTCAGGCAAGTGCTCTTGATACCTATCCACCCAGACACATTTTGCAGGAGCAAATTTCCCCACTGAAGCTGCATACAACCCTTTGATTTTACCTTACACATGCATATACTCACACCCACACACATCAATAGCATGGAGTCTCTGGCTTCAAATAAT